ATTACTACGCAGTGATCAGTCAATAAGAATACTAGTTCATTTACATAAATATGAGCCATCAGTCATTTCTATTACCGTTAGTGCAGTTGTGTAAAAATTAAAAGGGGACTACGTTTAAATCCAGTCATTGTACTCGCTGACTGGTTTATATCATTAATTACAAAGGTTTGGATTATCCTGTTATTGATAACTACAATTTAATTATGATCAGTCTTTGATGATATACGTGCATTCTATGAGGATAACCTCAATATGCCCATTTCGTTGGACGTTTATAAGCATCAAACCAGTTAAGCAAGTTAGTGACCATCTGAGATCAGCAACTCAGTGAATCGGTCTTCGTTATTTTAAGTGAAAGGTAATAGGTTGGAATCCTATCCTGAACTTAAGAGCAAGGATATATATATATATATATATATATATATCTGATAAGCCTCAAAAAAAGACGCAACAGATGCTTCAAGTTCCACTGCTAACTGTAACGCACCTATTCTCTTACAGCTTTGGTATAGTTCTAAGCTCTATTACAGTACGAAAACGTTTCTTTAAAATCTCACGTACACCATTCAAACTAGTAATTATAAAGGTGATACACAGACAGTCTAAAATGTGACAATAATGAATGTCACTGAGAATAAAAATGTATTTTCCTTATAGTTAGAAAATATTCTCGGGAATTAATTATAAAAGAAAGCATATATATATTGTACAAAATTATATATGGAGAAGAAAATCATTGCGCGATGTGCATTTCAAATGTCAATGTCAATAAAGAACAGTTATACCTACTTTTCATAGTATTTTAAAAAAATAAAAAAGAGAAATATTTACACTAATACATTTTGAAATAAAAAGATTAATGGAATTTTCACTTCCTTTGATGGAGTAATTAGTTGTAGTACACATTTTACATTACCAAATTCTTTTAGTAGAGAAGATGGCTTGAAAAAAGTGAATTTTTTAAAAAGGAAGATGAATTGATCAAGACGTTCTTTGGAGATTATTTCAATAACCTGGTTCTATTTGTTGCGTGTTGATTTAGGTTAGGGTATCAATAAAGACCAGAAAATGTTGGATAACTTCTTTGATCATTGAATGCTAACCGAGTAATCTGATAGTTACGAGGTGAACGAGCGGCCAGAAGGTCCTGGTTTCGATCCTTGTAAGGTTAATGAGTGGGTACTCTTGATGACTGTCACGCCGAGGCAAAACTACTGTCCAGTACTTGCTGGTTTTCCCTGACACGTCAACTGAGGGTAACACCTTGATATAACCTGCGTAGTTGATGGAGATTTTCCAAAAAAAAACAATCAACGGGAATGCTTATGAGCCAAAATTACGATAAAAATTAAATGTCTGTCAAGTCATTGGATTAGTCTTGAGTTCAGTAATCAAACTATCTAAAGTCTATTATGTATTTCGGAACATATGTTTGAAATTTCAAATTTTAGTGTAACATTTAACGGGAATTCTTCGCATGAATTCATGTTAGCCCAAAGTGTGATAACATATTTATACTACGAGACGAAATTAGCAATATGAATAGCAAAGTCGCAATAATAATATTGAAGACTAAATACTGAGGACAAGATTCCAGAAGATGGAATGTGAACGTTTGTGTAGAGGAATCATCAAACTGCATATCTAGTGAATTATTTTGTCCCACTATTATTAATTTTGAGTCATGTCATTCAGTTTCTCCAATCACTGATTATAGTCATCATGTTAAGTCGAACCGACTGAATTTCTCCTAATATGACTTAAACCAACAATCAATGATTTCATAAGCAAATGTCATGTTTTGGTTTATCTGTCTTGTTTAAGGATTCGAAAATGTTTAGGTTTATTGGATTGTTAAGTTCCACATATACCCACTTTTCAGCCATAATAAATTATCAAATTGGGGTGTTGATTTACAAGAGAAATCAATTTAGAACTATATACATCTTTCTATAATCAAACAAATATCTAATATCAAAAGGAGGTTTTGTGGAGATTTTAGTAATTTTATAGTTGAAATCATGAGTCATTTGGAGCTAGACCACCATGAAAAACCTGGAAGCACTGGACGGTCGTTTCTTCCCATTGTGGGACTCCTCAGCAGTGTGCACCCACGATCCCTCCTCGCAAGATTCCAACCCAGGACCTATCAGTGTCGCGCGCGAGCGCTTAATCTCTAGAACCATTGAGCCTATATATCTGATGTGTGATTTTACTCAAGCGTGATTTGAAAATCACGTTTTTATACATTAAATATGATAATTTGATAGTGTAACAGTTTTTTAGTCACATACATATACACTTAGATAGTTTTAATATCATACACAAATTTATTTCATTAATATACCAAAAATAAACATTAAATAAATTAGCAAAGATGGTTAGCGGCTAGCAGTGGAATCCAGAAGGCGCATTTCTTCCTATTTGGGACTCATCAGCTGGATGTACGCATAATATGCACCAATGCCAATGGGAGACTGATCATGGTAGTATTGTATGAATTCCTCAGTAATTAAGTTCACGATATGCTCTAAACCTTTTATCAAAGTGTGTATTAACAACAAACATAACTAAAAAAGTAAATTCACTTAGTATTGTTTGTTTGAATCTTCCCATTGATGTATAAGACTGCAACTGGTCCGTCTTTTATCGGTATATATACATACTGTACGTATTGCCTCGATAAAGCCTTAATTCACAATATGCACATGTGCCAATAGGAGACTGATCAATTGTAGTCCTGAACATCAATGGGAAGATTCAAACAAACAATACCAAGTGAATTTAAACTTCACCCCATTGCACAAGCTATTGGCTATCAGGACGCATTAGCTAAGGAGATAACGCGATGGCGCTTGAAGCGAACGGTACTGTATTCGAGTCCCAGAGTGAACATCAACTATGAGATGCAGGTATACCCAGCTGATGAATCTAAAATAACACTAAACGTGAGTCCTGGATTCCAAGGCTAGCCACTATCCATCTTTGCTTATAATTCTCCTTTCGTTATTTTTTGTTTTTCTTTTAATCTGTTTAACAAACAAAGAAGTTGTTGTTTAGACTGTGCAAGAAAGCAAAAAAGAAAACATTTTATTCTTCCATAGATCTTGTCATTAAAATTTCTTAATTATTGTTATTGACGATATTTTAAATTTTGTTTTAAATAACATTATACAAAGAAAAATTATATATTTAAATGTATGTAGAATATTTTATATAAAGATTTTATCATAGGAAAAAGTATGGCTTTAAAAGTTTATTCTTGAATATATCGATTTGAATATAAATGTTTTGCCTTTGAAAATCAATGTCGTTCTTCTGTTTGCTTGTTTGTGACTGTTTTTTTTCAAAAAAACATTTCAGTAAAATACTTTTTCATAGTTGAAATCATTAGTCAATTGAAGCTAGACCATCATGGAAAACCTGGAAGCACTGAACAGCCGTTTCATCCTATTATGGAACTCCTCAGCCTTGCGCATCCATGATCCCGCACTTGCGAGATTTGAACCCAGGACATACTAGTCTCGCGCCAGAGCAATTAACCGAAATACTTTTTGTTGTTGATGTGTAATATTAATTATCGATATTTCTAATAGTAATTTAATTGTTCACACTTTGACTTTAATTATACTTGGTAGGATTATGAAAATTTTCAAACTGTTATCTGAATTTTTATGTTATTTATAAATTTGTATTCTGTTTTATGTATATTTTGATTATTTCTGATAGTTGGATTAGGAATGAACTTTATGATCCTAATTATGACTTATCAGCTGAGTGTGCCTTATGTTTACATTAGGGCTTGAATTTAACAAACATTGCTGTGTATTTTAAAGTGTTACCCATCAGGCTATTAAGTTTATACAGGTATTAAATTGTTTGTTTATTATATATCGAAAAAAATCTCGAAAATGAAAGAATTACATATTCGATGTTTTAAGACCTTAAATAGTGAATATGTCTACAGGATTGAATAAATAATTAAATGTCACAAAGGAATTCCTTTCGGAGTTTTTGAAAAGTTAAGATTATACATGCGCGTGAGTGGATAATTATGTTAGGTAATAGACGTTTAATATTCATGAAAAGAATTACTGAGATAAAATGTTTTCTAGACAACAATTTCCTTTATTATGTTATCGATAGCATTTCACTAAAATTTGCTTAGTGAATATATGGTAGAAAAATGGTGAGAAACACTCTAAAATACTAAGCCTTTGTTTCTGTGTTATTGTTATAACAGAAGAAATACAACATGATTATTCATACTTTAATTTATGAGACCAGTTGATCGAGTTGATGTAAATTGTGTAGCCGAACAGCGACAAACTGACGCGGTCTTTCTTTAACTAAACAGTTTTTGAAAGAAACAACTGTACAATAAGGAAATGGTTATATTATACAATAAAACAAATATAGATATTTCACCTAAAAATAGATGTTATTAAATTCCCTTCAAATCGTAACTGATTCAAAGCTCAACTGATATTATGTAGACCAGTCATTAACCAATAAAGCTGTAAAGTGATGATTAAGTTTAGTTCCTGATATCATATCGGTGAAAACTATTTAAGTTTTTGATGCTAAGGTCGGCATTAATGCATTTCAGTATTTAACGTGAAATTTAATCATGGTGACATGGATTTAAATTTATACATGTTACATTCCTTTGACATAATCTAGATGTTTTCTCAATAAATTCATTCATTTGAATATGGGTGATTTTTGAAGTAAGGCTAAATGTAGCGTTGACATAAGTACAATTTTTTATGATGAATTTGGTTAAATAATATATAAATAATACAAGACAGGACACTGTGCATATGTTATGAATAAATAGTATAGAAGAATTGTAAAATTGTCATAAAATCTGAAATTTTATTTTCACCGAGAATTAATATCGTGTATAAAGGTACTGACAACCATTTAATAAAATGCCTCAACAGTACACAAATATAATCTTATGAACTGTCTGATTTTTATTAAGTAGCAAACACAACATTTATACGAATATTCGTCAAGATTAGAACGAATAGTTTGACAATAATTGGGCGCCGAGTATAGAGAATTCATTATATGTGAAAAAATTTTTATATTTGAAATAATCTCAGCGATTGAAATTTAAATAATTCCAACGTTTCGTCCAGCTAACTTGTCTGGACTTCTTCAGGGAAATAATCAAAATCAAAATCATCAAAGAAATATATAGTGTTTTTACAATCATATCAAAATCTCTACTACTTTTTAATCCAATCATATTTGGATGTCGAAGTTTTTGTACAACAGGATAATATGAGTCAGTTGAATGAGAATCAAGTGAAAAGTTCAACGATGTGAATTAAAGGAGACTGCATAAATTGTGTGTATGTATGTATGTGTAAGATGAGTTATTAATGATGAATGATATTCAGTGTTGATATGTTTCTATGTGAAGTAAAATAGGAATAAACGTGCATAATGAAGGTTGAAAAGTTTTTCTCCTTTCTGAATCATCGAAGTTGCAAATAAAATGAGAATCATCAAGTACATAAATTGTAATGTTAAACATAACTCATATTGATTTAAGTCATAATAACGATTCATGTGAAGTAAACAGGTTGAATAAAAGAAAAAGGTCAAATTACTTGTTGATGAATATTTGCCAAGTGGTAGCTAGCTGAATACCATCCTTTCTGTTTAGGCTGTTCTTATTCGCCCATATATACAGCGCTTCTGCTGTCAATCTTTCTTTGTGAGTGTTGAAACCTTTCTGAAGTATTTTGGCCCCTTCAAAATTAATCATGTGTCCCGTTTCCAACGCATGTAACGCTATTGCAGACTTATTCTCAAGTTTCTTTAAGTCAACCGAGGTTCTGGGAACGTTTTTTAAACACTGTTTGTGTTCCTTCAACCTTACCTTCAATTGTTTGGATGTTTCTCCAATATAAGCCGAATTACAATCATGACAATTGATCTCATAGACAATATTTTGTTGTTCTTCCTTTGGTAACCTATCCTTAACCTTCACCAATGACGATCTTATAGTGTCACATGTTCTAAAATACACTCTTATATCATGTTTGTTTAAAATCCGTTTGATTTCCTCCGATGTTTCGCTACGGTATGGTATGACTACAGTGGACTTCCAATCTTTCTGTACATGTTGCAGTTTAGCTTTTCTTTCCTTTCTAACAATCTTCTTTAAAAACTCTTTTGGGTAGTTGTTATCCCTAAGTGTAGCTAAAATCCTATTCAATTCAAATTGTTGGTCTTCTTCATCTGTAACAAGCTTCAGGCTTCTGTTAATTAAATTTTTAACAACTGTGACTTTCGTACATAAAGCATGCGCCGAATCAAAATCTAAGTATCTATCTGAATGTGTTGATTTTTTGAAAACATTTATTTTCAACTTCCTATTATTAAGTCTTCGTTCAACCATACAGTCGAGAAATGCCAGTTTGTGGTCATCAGACTCTATTTCCTTCGTTAGATTAATTTGTTCCGAAATGTTGTTCACATTTGTAAACAATTCTTCCAAATAGTCCTGTTTAATGATAACAAAAATGTCATCTACATACCGTAGCCAGACCTTTGGTGGACAAACACTTCTTGCGATTGCACTAGTTTCGAGTGAATGCATGAATAAATTCGCAACAATCGGAGAAACTGGTGAACCCATAGCTATACCTTCTTTTTGTCTGTATAGATCTCCTCGAAATATGAATAAGGTGGACCTTAAACATAGTTCCAAACACTTGATAAACTCAGATGGATCTAACGGGCAACGTAAATGTAAATCCAAATCAGATTCTAAACAAGCATAAATAATATCCAACGCTCTGTTGATAGGTACGTTAGTAAATAAGGAAGAAACATCAAAACTTGCCATTACTTCTTCTTCTTCTATGTCGATGGTATCAATAATATTTTTAATTCCATAGAGTTTTTAATTCCATGATTAATCAATTTCTCATACGGTTTTAGTATTCTAGCTAAGTATTTCGCTAGGTTGTAAGTCGGTGAATTTGTAAAATCGACCACTGGTCTTAGTGGAGTACTATCCTTGTGAATCTTCGGGAGTCCATAGAATCGACAAGGGTTACAACTTTTTGGATTTAGCATAAACCATAAAGGCGTTCCGAGCTTGACCTTTAACGAATGTAAGATTTTACTTGTTTCCGCCTTAAGTTTATTGAGCGTAGTTCTGCTTTTTTCAACTTTGATTAGTTCATATGGTCCCTCTTGTAGATGTTCCTTTGCTTTTTTCTCGTAGTCCAATTTGTTCATGATGACTGTAGTGTTACCTTTATCTGCTTTTGTAATGATAATTGTCTTATCATTTCTTAGTTGCTTTAATGCATGCAACTCATTTTTAGTCATATTAGATTTTTGTGATTTTTGACGTAATAACACGGACATTATCTTATTCCTCAATTCATTCGCTGTTTCATTAGGAAGTATGTTCAATGTTGGTTCGATTGCTGGTATAATATTGAAAGACGATAAATGTGGTCTATTTATATTGAAATTGAGACCCTTTTTAAGTAATGAAATTTCATGGGAGTTGAGAATTCTATCAGATAAATTAACTAACACTTTGTTAATATCTACTGTGTTCGATTTATCTCTAGTTTGTTTCACTTTGCTGTTTGAATATTGAATTAGGATTCATTTCTTCATATTTCACAATACAAGTAATGCAATCTACATTCCGTTTCAGTCAGATTAAATCTTTCATTGCTTTAAATCCACTAGGAATTCGTAGTGTATAAATAATAGAAATATCAGTATTGCGTTATGGAGATTGTGCAGTTTTTATTGAGATTATGAACTGTGGCAGTTATCCACCGAACACCATGGAAGATGGTCGCTCAATATCCCGGATTGGTCAAAGTTAGACATTAACACTGTTGGATCTCGGCTCAGTGGTTTGGAGGTTAGGTGTTTGCACGCGACTGAAAGTTCCGGGTTCGAGTCTCGTGCGAGAGATCGTGAATACGCACTTCTAAATTGTCCCATACCGCGACGAATCGGACATCCGATGCTTCTATATTTGCAGTAGTGGTCTAACATTGATCGGATCATAATCTTAACAGTCCGAATATATAGATTTATCAAATTAACGATTCCTTGAATCGGAATTTCTAATAATTCTTTAAATTCGTCATTCTATTTCAATATTTTGATGTGTAAAGATTTGGGATTTTCCAGACGATTGATTCATCATGGAGTCACTATTATTTTTGTTTGTAGTTGATGCGAATAAGTGACTTTCATTTAAAATTCATTGAGAATCTGTTAGCAACAGATTGCTATTTTGTTCTAATATATGATAGTGAGCGTCTTTTTTATATCATTAAAGATCTAAATTAGGTTCTTCAGTCCGTTCAGGGAGAGAATCACTTTCAAATCACCGAGTTTACATTGAATAGCTAAAAATTTCATTGAATGATTTTTCTATCAGTGACGTTACTCATAAACCTTTATAAGAATCATCCAACGATATAAGTACACATCTACCAACTTTTATTATCCTCCGATATCGATTATTATTATTTTTACCCATGAGAGTAATTACTTATTCATAAATGAAATCAATAAAATTGTCATAGTTTAAAATAAATTTTTTTTGTTATAATTCTATTTTAGAAATATTTATATTTTAAAAAAAATATATAATAAACCAGACATTGAAAAAATTGTCTCATGTGCTTATCATTATTATTTGATTTGATTGAATCATAAATCTAAATTATCAAAATATTCTACTTTTGTTCTATTCTAAAAAAAAGGGACGTTTTTTTTAAAAAAAATCGAATTATTTAAACAAAATAATTAATTACTTTGAGGTAGTTTTAGTTGCTTTTTTTTTTAAAAAAAATTAATGAATGGAAACAAAAATTCAATTTCCTTGGTGGTCTAGCTTCAATTGACTAATGATCTCAAGTATGAAAATACTGAAATCTCCACAAAAACTCTTTCTGATAATGATCAAAATATGCTTACTAGTGAATAGCTTCAAGAGATAATTTCTGGAGTTCTAGTGAGAAGCAGTGACCAATGGAGTTCAACCACCTCTGTTGTGAGATAGGAACTCACTGAAGACAATTGGTGAATGGTTGCTCAATTTGGTGGATTGGTTAAAGTTAGACATTAACACCATCGGATGCTGGCTCAGTAGTCTATCGGTTAAGTGCTTTGGCGCGAGACTGGTAGGTCCTGGGTTCGGATCTTGCAAGTGCGGGATCATGGATGCGCACTGCTGGGGAGTCCCACAATGCGACGAAACGGCCGTCCAGTGCTTCGAGGTTTTCGATGGTGGTCTAGCTTCAATTGACTCATGATCTCAACTATGAAAATTCAAAATATTTTTTGTTAACTAATTTGATTTTTTTAAAAAATCCATTATGTAGACTATTAATAGTTCTGATCTTTGGGATAATATGAATATCTGTAATTTTTATAAGAAGCTGTATTTTGAAAGGCGATTAAATAATCAATTTTAAATAGTTGAAATCATGAGTCAATAGACGCTAGACCACCATGGAAAACCTGGAAGCACTGGATGGCCGTTTCGTCCTATTGTAGGACTCCTCCAGTGCTTCCAGGTTTTCCATGATGGTCTAGCTTCAATCGACTCGTGATTTCAACTATATAAATTTACTAAAGTCTCCACAAAACCCCCTTCTGAAAATAAGCAATTGTTGTAAGATTGTAATATAATGGGATTAAAAAAAAAATTACATTCTTTTATTCATTGTGATTTTTGTTCTGTTCTGTATTAATTCTATGTAATAATTACTTAGTATAGGATTTATTTTGTTTTACAGTGTGATATTTTATTCGGTATAACATATGATATTCTTGTATTAAATTATCATGGACTATGCTCAACATGACTTGTAGCATGAGATTTGTTATAATTCTTGGTATTTTTCATATATGTGACTTCATCCGTGTCAGTAATCAAAATGGATGTACACTCAATATATAAATGAGTATATTTTCGACTAGGGTCATTGTCGTGTTTTGAGGTTAGTAAATCTTCAACTGCGTCTTACTTCGTGTCATGAGAATTGCAGTGGTTCCTCGTTTTACAAGCATAAGTAATAAGCAATTCCAACATAGCAATGAACAATAACCAAACATATCAAATTGGGGATGCAGTCATAAGAATTAGTGACGACTAGTCATAACGGACTAGTCTCTTGGTATTTCAGTGATACGTTTTTATATGTATAAAGTTGACTTGATCAGAAGTGAAACAGCCACATGTCCAGTTATATAATGAATTAGAGTTCTGATATATCATTAATTGTCCGAAACGATCATATAACCCTTGCAGATTCACTGATTAAATATAAGTCATGGATGCTGAATACTTAAATCTAGTCTATCCTTATACAAGAAACAGAAATCTAATTAGTTATTTGTTATAACGTAAGGTCTCGTAATATATATAAACGTGCAATTTGAGAGGAGTGAATTTGTTGATCGGACGCAAATGATACTTGAAATCGTACGAACAGTCTTGAGTGCTATTCGGTCTTTCCTATCTGCCTAGCCCAGCCAGTTGAGTCCAGAACACAAATAACAGCCTCGGCAATATGAATCATTATTTACAAACATACTGGGTTTTTATACAAACCAAAGTAATCAATAAACTGATTATAACTCAAGAATCGTATGATGATAAATCAAAGATCAAAATAAAGCTCATGATAAGAGAAACACGAATATGAATAGTTTAGTTACGTAATAATTGTACAATAGGAAATAGGCATAATACACTGGTCGATAAATAGTCCTTAGAGTTACCATTCATAACTCACCAGGGGATATAACATTATTATTTCATAATATATAATCAATCTGACTGAAGAATATTGATTGCAAATATACTTTTTTATGATAAACACATGTTTTAAAAGTTTTCAATTCAATATCTACTTTAATCACAATGGTCTTTAAATGATCTCTTCAGTGATTATTCATCCGTCATTTACGAAGCAAAATTTAAATTATTGGTAAACATGATTTTTTGGCGTGGAATCTAGAAATGTTGAATTTGATCGTGGAGAGAACGGATTTAAAAATGATAAGTACCTATCCATTACTTTCTTTATGATTTAAAAACTTTTTATCTGATACAAACTCATCAGAAAGATCATCTTTAAGTCAAGAATATGAGGATATCAATTAAGAGTATGTTTCATTATTGTCAATATTATTATTATCATTACAAATCATAGAAATGTTTATAATTAGCTATTCTAATAAAAAAACAGATCACTTATATGTAAGTTAGACTGACAATAACATAGTTTATATGATTCCTAATGCATGTGTGTTTATGTTAATGTACATTTCCACATTTATATTGGTGTTTCGTTCTACAGTGAACGAAAAAGGAATATTTAAACTATAATCCATTCTAAACACAAATGTTTAGGAAAGCGTTCATTACCTAATAAGTCATTTTGCTTGTATTTAACCAAACATATAACAAATGCATGTACACATTATGCAAGTTCAGATTTATTTGATTTAAGATGTTAAATTTCATAGATATAATAACCAAGTTTGGATTTTCGAACATGGGGTCTAGGATTGTGAAGTTTCTTTACTCAAAATTTAGTTAGTATAACAAACTAGTATCACTTAAATAGCTGTTAAATAAATCAAAGCACTGCACAAGATGTTTGATATGCCAGGTTAATGAGAGTTGGTTATTTTATGTTAACTGATTCTTTTCAAGTTATATCTGCCAACTATCGTCTTGACTGTAATTACTCGAAACTAACAGTTACTATAAGTAGGTGAACTGTAAAAGATTAGATATTTTATCCGTTCATTATATTTAGTTTGCGACCCGGGACCAAATTCCTACATCTCATCTCACCACGAAGAAAAAGAGAATTTACAAAATAAGAACCGAAGGAGACGATATAATGTGTAATGAAACCAAAAGATGAAAAGTTGAGAATAATACTCAGTTAAACCTTTAAGAAAGATAAAAAATATGTCCGAAAGGAGTTGATGGGATCAACATCATTCTGTACCGTTATTCGTTGTACACAATTATTGAGCAAATTACAACCAAGATTGTGTAGTTATCAACTTAGCTTAATGATTACCTATTCATTTATTTATAGTATGTGGTAAAATGATTAAATTAAACTTTTGGGAACCAATTATAAACATTTGGAAAGTCAGTGAAAAATATTTCAGATACTTAATCATAAAAAAACTTGGTCGATGACAAGATTCCCCGGTTTATAAGAAAAGTGTTTATTGATTAATTATTGCAATATAGGACTAATTTTTGCGGAACTTTATGTTCTATCAGTGTAATAAAACCTGATGTTTACTATATTATTTAACTATACAGAATCTCATGAAGTACTCATCATTTTGGAATGTCATTTATTTTATAATATCCATTTCATAATATTTATCGTCAGTAAGTCTTACTGATAGACACAATGCAGAACAATAATAAATCTGTAAGTACATGTAATATCGAGTCACTACCTCAAAAAGCCCATACATTAACAGAAAGTTTATATTGCGGACAAGGAATTCTATTTCTGGTTAGACTTTTCAAACATAATTATCAGTTTCAAGAAAATGATACCATTTTTTACACAGTTTTTGTATTCAGTATTACCCAATATATGTCTCCAATAAAGTGTTTATTCCACATAATAAATTCATATAAATAATGTCATACGTTTCTTGTTGCTTGGTTTAGCGTGGATTCATTGAAAATTTCATAAACTATTAAAGACTTTAAATTCACCTGCTATTGTTTGTTTGAATCTTCCCATTGATGTTTAGGACTGCAATTGATCAGTCTCTTATTGGCCATATGCATATTGCCTCGATATAGCCTTAATTCACAAGCGTTATAAGCAAAAATGGTTAGTGGCTATCGGTGGAGTCTAGGATGCGCGCTTCGTCCTATTTGGGACTCGTCAGCTGGATGTACCTGCATCTCCGAGTTGATGTTTACTCTGGGACTCGAACCCAGTACCGTTCGATGGCTGACAAGTCCCAAATAGGACGAAACTTGCGTCCTGTATTCCACTGCTAGCCACTATCCGTCTTTGTTTATTAAACATTTTATTGTAATAGAAAAAATTAGAGACGTTAGAGACGTTTCTCAAGAATTGTTTTCTAGCGTATATAAATATAAATATAATTTTAGTGTTTAGAAATTTAGAGATAAGTAAATTTTTCAATTTGCTTTTTTTGGTATAAATATTTATGTTTGATATCGATTTCGTACATATTATGATTTCAATTAAAACGAAAATGTTCGGTGCCTAATCAGAGCAAAATAACTAAGGAGGAAATACCAGATACAGAAGTAGGTAAAACAATATATATAATCACTGTGTTCTGTTATACAGTCTATGTATCATAACTGTATTACAAGGGAAAATAACCTCAACAGCCCTAGATTCGATTCCAATTTAACTTCTTCACTGTTCAATGTTGAGAAGTTTTAAATCATATTAATGATTATTCATATTATATAATTTGCAGTAAAATGTATTCTGAAACTATGCACTCATTACTTTGAAGCTATTACGATAGAAATACACTAAACATACTTTCTCTTCTATGGGAAATACAAAAAATTGTTCCGTAACATAAACAACTAATAATGTCTATCATGATATTTTAATGATAAGGTATAGAAAAGTAATAGAAAAGTATATGGAGTAAATGTAGTATCATTATCTTGTTGTGCATACAGTCAATTGGGAATTATTAATTATACATTATTAACTACGTCATCTATGTTGTAACCAAAGTTTCTTCTTGTAGACTTGGTTTCCATTTTTGTTCTGAAAACTGCAAATATCATTATTGATATATATAGTAGTAGTAGTAGTAGTATTCTGATTAATAATTCAAAACAGTTTAACAATTAATTTTTGAGGGAATTTAAACAAAACGCTAATCCCTTAACTGATTTCTTTTAAAAATAAATTATTCTGCAATTTTGCTGCTGTCTTTTTGTGGACTCATTATTGCTGAAATTATTAATGAATATGAATATATGATTATGATTGTTGAAATTCGTATCGTCAACACCATTTGAATATATGGTTCTATCAACTATCATAGCTAATTGTGTTGTCCTAGCAATGGAAGTTCATTTGCCAAATAAAGATAAACGTCCATTATCTGAAAAATTGGTAAGTATTTGTCATTTTCTTTAATTTTTGTTTAAATGTTTTTACTTTAAAATAGATATTTTATTGATTTAGAACAATAAAATTTAAAGTTGTTTACTAATGAGGAAAAACCCACTCATATGTTAGATTATAATGTGTAATAACCGGCTTTTGATTAAAGAACACTAAATGAATGCTAGCCGTCTTCTATAGTATCGAAATAGGGGAAAGTTTTAAAACATATCCCTTATAAATCAGTGTTATAAACATGATGAACGTTAGCTGTTTCGCTTATATAACCACATCTGGTTACAAACTTCATGAAATAGTCTTCTTTTAAAAGATAATTAACTTGAAGGGGTTTTGTGGAGATTTAATATTTTCATAGTTGAAAGCATGAGTCAATTGAAGCTAGACCACTATGGAAAACCCGGAAGCCCTGTACGGCCGTTTCTTTTTATTGTGAGACTCTTCAGCAGTGCGCATACACGATCTCGCCTTGCGAGGACCTATTAGTCTCGCGCCAGAGCACCCAACTGATAGACCACTGAGCTGGAGTTTCACGATAGGACGAAACGGTCGTCCAGAGCTTCCAGGTTTTCCATGGTGGTCTAGCTTCAATTGACTCATGCTTTCAACTATGATAATCAGTTTGTCCTAACCCTTTAGCATATATCATTTGAATTCACTTTGTATTGTTTGTTTGAATCATCCCATAGATGTTTAGGACTTTAGTTTATCAGTATTTTATTGACATATTTACATCCTATTTGGATTGCTTCGATATTACTTAAATCATAAGCATTATAAGCAGAATTGAATGACGACTAGCAGTGAAATCCAACGTAATCCATACAATCGGCACAGGATGCTATTAAGAAACTGATCAATTTCAGCCCTAAACATAAATCGGAAGATTCAAACAAACAATACGAAATGAATTAAAACATCACCCCATTGTACATGTTAATGGATATCAGGACTTAGTAACTAGGTGAATAACTTGATGGAGTTTGAAGAGAACGGTACTGTATTTGAGTCCCAGAGTGAACACTAACTCTGAGATACAGGTACATACAGCTGACGAGCCTCAAACAGGACGAAGCGCGTCATTTGATTTTAAAATAAGTTCGATCATTTCGTTTTAATACGGACTATGATTGATAATCAAAAAATGCTTATCGTACAAATAGTCTGCTTTAATTTAGTGAATTGATATACTTTCTCATTATCAACAATGAAGGGTGTTGCGTTAGTTCAAAGAAGCCTATGACGTGAGTTTTTTGTGAGCTATTGATCTGGTTCCAGTTTGATCAAACAATTCTGTGAATGAAATACAAATCCCGGCTACCCTCGTATATTATTATCAGCTTAATAGGCGTTAATGAATAAATGAATAAAATAAGTAAGGGAATGAAGTTTGGATACGTATATTTCTTGCACTCGTTGATCCCTACAGATATTCAGAACAAGAAGTAGGAACGAGAAACAAAGTGGAGAAGCCATGTTTGCCAACTCCATTTTATCAGGTGACTCGATATTTCTAGTCAGACAAAAATAAACTAACGACATATGATGAACAGGGTAAGCGACGGACACACACGCTCACACTAAAATAGTCAAGGTTAGCATGCTAATAATCGACAAAGGTAAAATGTGATTCAAGAAAAACAAATAAATCGGTCTGTCCGGAAGCTAGAATAACTTGTCTGGGCTTAACACTACAAGTCGGACGAATACATTATAGTAACTCATGTATCTATTGATCATTAAACTCAGAGTATTGGAATCTGGAGATGCTTCCTTGTTTTTGATCTTTCAATTCAAGTGTTTAGGTACCATGTGTTAAAACCATTCATAATGATTAAAAATGCATTCATACTATAGCAAAACTAAAGTATAAGAGCAAAATCTGGAGGTTCTTGAAAGCACTTCGATAAATCTTATCCGTTAATAACCAGTCAAGAAGCAGGTAATCAAAATCGATCAGTTTGTAATAAACATAATTACGAAAAACAAGGGGAATCAGGTTAACATACATGACGTATGATTTCCCTGAAGATTAATCTAAGGTTCTTGTGATTTGAAATTTACGAAATTTTAATCAAAAGATTCATCTATATGGCTTAAACGTTTACCACCTAATCATTCTTCTCTAATATTACTTCCGATATAAGCTTATCTATTGGTGCTTATGATTCTGCCTATTTAATTCATAAATCGAGTTGTCTTTATTCAGGATTCTGACCACATATTTCTGTAATAAAGTACTATGAATTCGCTTACATCATTAATGTCGGTTACACTGGTCACTAGTGTTTCATATTAGACAATTTACCATTACAAAAATCATTTGTCTGTGGATAACTTTTTAATATATAAAAATGGAATCAAATTTTAAAGACATTTTATATATATACAGTCAGGACCGAAATATAAAATTAACGTATTTTCATAGGTGAAAGCGCGAGTCAATTGAAGCTCGACCCGTAGGGAAAACCTGGAAGCACCGGACGGCCGTTTCGTCCCATTATGGGACTCCTCAGCAGTGCGCATCGGATGCCGGCTCAGTGGTCTAGGGGTTAAGGGCTCTGATGTGAGACTGGTAGGTCCTGGGTTCGAATCTCGCGAGTCGAGGTCGTGGATGCGCACTGCTGAGAAGTCCCACAATAGGACGAAACAGCCGTCCAGTGCTTCCAGGTTTTCCTTAGTGGTCTTGCTTCAATTGAATCACGCTTGGAACTAAGAAACTACTAAATCTCCACAAAAAACCCTCCTGATTAACGTATTTACCTTAACGTTCTAGCAATCATTTTTTTCTTATCGTAATTACATAAAGTAGATTACAGTCCGTTTTGTTGCTATTACGTTCTTATTACATTTTCGTCGGAATCAGAAAGTATACTGCCTAAATTCAACATACTATTTAAACTTTGAGCCCTAATCTAAAAATGCATGTGTACATTTATTTCATTCGTCTCTATTTAATCTTACCATCTATAGCTTTCAACTTGTAAGTGAAACTAGAATTATCTTTTTAAATCAATGTAACAAAATTTTATTATTTAGTTCGATCGATTAATTTGCGAGAACAAACCAGTATGTTCTCGTGTTATTATTACATTTCAGTCAGAATAAAGAAAATGTGGGATATAGTGTCAATATTTTCATCATTTGAATTGTAGGCTATGACTTTATGAATTCATTCTCAATAGTAACTATATTTCTTTGTTCTTTGACTTTTTTTTAAATCTATGAATTCATGATATTATTACTGAAACTTCTTTTTTTCTGTCACTTTCCTAAATATATTTTCAGTGTTCATTTCCTCATAAATGTGATTATTCGAGCTAACAGGTTTTAGTTGTTGACTGTTATTTCATTAATATCTTCTCATTGTTATTGATCTCAAGTGTGGTAACGAGAATCGAGAAAAAGTACCTTCATCATGTTTACCATTGTTTATGATTGATAGTGACTATTAGAATAAGAATAATAACCATTGAAATAATGTTTAGAGAATCTATCACAGTTGACTAATGTTTTTATGTATTATATGCTTTTATAAAACTTATAGTTAAAAATATAAATGCCCAATGACGTTAGCAGTCTATAATATGATTTCCATCTATGTACATAAGTATATATGTATATAAGTAAACCCTTGCTGAACAATTCACGCGCGTTGCTACAGTTTGAAATAGTGAATTTATTAGTTTTCTAAACAATCAAATAACAATATCATTATTATTCATTGATTATGGTTGATTTAATGAGAATATGAAGCTTATCAATTTCAAGATGGTTTTATTGCTGATAATAATAGATTAAACTGTTTTTAAAGCGACGAAATGAACGCGAAGTAACAGTTATGTTAATGCTTTAATAACATTGGGGAAATAAAATTCAGCTGTATGAACAAGAATTCCGGAGATTATCATCACTAGTAACTGATATCAGGAGTTTACAATCTATTTTTGACATTGACTGAAGATAAAAATTTGAACTACTACGTTATAAATTAAATGATTATAAATTTAAGACATTCACTACAAAACCCAAAGTTTTCGAACTCGATTCCTAGCGGTCTCAAGGATACACACTAAGTAAAGTCACATATAATAACACAATTGTATAATATTTCCCAGTTTTTCAGTGACTCTCTAGCTGAAATCCATCCATGATGTTGAACAATGTGACACAAAAATATTGCCATAATAATAAATTGAAATCAAACAAAACTGATGAATGGAACTATCCTCATCTTAATATCTAGAAATGTGATTTCATATTCTTTGCGTTGTCACAACTGAACATCCGATAGACGTTTGTAACCAGTTTACAACTTTTCAAGACATGAGTTTCCAAAAATAACGTTCAGATTTCCCGTCACGTTAGCTTCACCAAACTACTTAGTATATCCAAGTATTTAATGAACTTGTAGATTAATAAATAAGATTATGTATCTTTAAGTAAGCTGGGGAAAAATGACCATTTTAATGTGTATGCTCAATATATCTACTGAATTCCAAGCTGGGTATTACTTAATAAACATGATATTTTTTATTCATATTCAGAATACATTTATAAACTATCAAACTAAGAAAAAAACAAAATAATCATTGAATAAAAATAACCCTCAGTAGTCAGTAAGTCTCATAAAACTTAATTCTTGGAAATCACCATGTATAAAACATTGAGATTAAACAGGATATCGCCGCAAACCTGTGGAGCAATGATTGATAATTTAATTTTTAACATGAGATTTCTCACTCACTTACTAATTAGCTCTTCAATTAAAATTATTATGAATGGTAAAATGAAGTGAATGGTTAAAAGAAGAAGAAAAAAGAACTAACCAAGTGTAAACTCATCTATATATTATTATATAAATCTCAAATAGATATTTTGTCCGACAAGCAAACAACTTAATTTTTAAAAAAAACACGATGTTCAGCAAAGGGGTCTTTTTTCAACGAATTTATTGTCAAGCTGTACAATCGTCTGTTCGCCTCCATGTGCATCTAACAGTTCACCTGCTCTTGTAAAGTAAAGTACATTGGCCGTAGCCAGAGCTCGTTCTCAATTCGGATACGTGGACATATCCTGGTTCTAAAAGGGTGAAAGGAAAGCAGTTAGGAGTTTCATATTTGAACACCTAATCGACTGTAATCATTCTGGGGATCCACAGTTTGATTTTAAGATTGTTTATATGATTCCTTAAAATCTACCTAGATTTTTTTTCATATCCAACTCCTAAAAATAGCCGAAACTCTTACCATCCATGAGCTTAAACCAGAACTATGTGAACAGAAGAAGTACGTCTTATGGTTATCGTTACCGTGACCTTAAGTAATATTATTATTACTGCATTCCCCTTCACTTGTGTTTTATTTTCTCTGTATTTTATTTGTAACTACTAATCATATCGCCACCTTATTTATTTTTACACTTCTGTGGCCTTTAATGACCTTTAATAATGGTAACGAAAAACATGTGAAAATCATATTTCAAATAATCCCAGCGATTGAAATTTAAATAATTCCAGCGTTTCGTCCAGCTAACTTGTCTGAACTTCATGGTAATAATCAAAATCAAAATCACCGAAGTTATACACAGGGTTTTTAACAATGATATGAAAATCTATACTACGTTAAACCGATCATATTTGGATGTTGAATTTAGTAAATAGGATTATATGAGTCAGTTAAATGAGAATCATGTGATAAGTTCACTATATGAAATAAAAGATTGAATGAATTATGTGTGTGTGTGTAAGAATGAGTTATTAATGAATTATGTCGATGTTAATATGTTTCTATATGAAGTAAAAATAAAAGTGCAAATCGAAGATTGGGAAAATTGTTTCTGAATCGTTGAATCCCAGGCAAAATTGCGAATCATCAAGTACATGCTAAACACAACTCATTTTGATTTCAGTCAAAATAACTATTCATGTAAGATGAACAGGTTGGATAAAGAAAGGATCCATTTCCTTGTTGATGAATATTTGCCAAATGGCTGCTAGCCGAATACTATCCTTTCTGTTTAGGCTGTTCTTATTCGCCCATATATACAGCGCTTCTGCTGTCAATCTTTCTTTATGAGTGTTGAAACCTTTGTGACCTATTTTGACCGCTTCAAAATTAATCTTGTGTCCTGTTTCTAACGCATGTAACGCTATCCCAGACTTATTCTCAAGTTTTCTTATGTCAACCGAAGTTTTAAGAATATTTTCCAAACACTATTTGTAATCCTTCAACCTTACATTCAATTGTCTGGATGTTTCTCCAATACAATCATGACAATTGATCTTCCCTTGGTAACCTATCCTTAACTTTCACCAAATGCCAACCTTATAGTGTCATACGTCCGAAAATACACTCTTATATCGTCTTATTATATTCACTATGTCTATTATTATTACTACTCGTATGACGTAATCTTGTATTATAATCTTTCTATTACATCATCTTGGTTATTCGTATTCACATTTCTTCATGGAATTAGTACTTTCACAAAATACACATTTCCATATATATACGATTGTACGGCTTGATAATAAATTCGTCGAAAAGAGAACTTGATTTATTTAATTTTTAACCAAGATCACTTTTTTTTCAAAGTTGAAATCATGAGTCAATTGAAGCTAGACCACCATCGAAAACCCGGAAGCACTGGACGGCCGTTTCGTCCTACTATGGGACTCCTCAGCAGTGCGCATCCACGAACCCACTCTCACGGTGGATGCGCACTGCTGAGGAGTCCCATAGTAGGACGAAACGGCCGTCCAGTGCTTCCGGGTTTTCGATGGTGGTCTAGCTTCAATTGACTCATGATTTCAATTTTGAAAAATACTGAAATCTCCACAAATCCTCTTCCAAGATCACTTTTTCTAATAATTTTTATTGGATAAAAAAATGTTCAAACATGTATACATCTTATAATCCTGTATGGATATTATTATTACTATTAATAATATGCGAAAGATGATATTCATAAATTTTGTTTATATTTAATAAATGAAGACAACATGGATTATAAATAAGAGAAATAAGGCTTCTCTCTATAATTGTAATTTGATTTAACCTAAAAGAAAGATATTCTGTTGTTTTTTTAATACTATATCAGTTTTATATTGTAAAGTTTGAAGAAAAAAAACTTTTTTAAATATCTAACTTTACTATGTCAATTATTTTGATTTATATTATTCAGGAAATGTAAATTTGACATATACAATGAAATGTGTGTGTGTGTGTGTGTTTAACGAAAATTAAACTAACTAAAGAAAAATACACTTTCTATTTTGACTAGGTTTATTCATGATTATATCTTGAAAAATAAGGGAAAATAAGAGAAATTCCATTAGATTTACTGTCATATTCCATGAAGTGGGTATCTTCATCAAGTGAAAGATTGGAGGAAAAATAAAGACAATATTACAATATCAGATGTCATTATAAAGTTGACGTTAATTTACAATGTTAATTGTCCATTATTTCAGAAAGATTGAATATTGTCTGACTGGTTGACAGGAATTACAATGTTACATTTCATTATATGTGAAAAATTATATTTGAAATAGTCTCAGCGATTGAAATTTAAATAATTCCAACGCCCAATTATTGTCAAACTATTCGTTCTAATCTTGACGAATATTCGTATAATGTTACATTTGTTTTTTCTGAATGTAATGATTGCCAATTTTATTCTTCCTAAATATTTACATAATAATAAGCAGAGATGAATAGTGGCTAGCAGTGGAATCAGGGATGTTTCTTTTATCCTATTTAGGACATCCAGTTGATGAGTCCCAGATTGGATAAACGCGCGTCTCGGATTCCACCGCTAGCCACAATCCATCTCTGTTTATAGTACTTATGATTTAGAGCAATCTCTAAGCAGTCCATACAGGATGTACGTATGCTAATAAAAGACTGATAATCTGAAATCCTAAACATCAAAGGGGTTTCAAACAACCTATACAAAAACGAATTATCTAAATAATTATTTATAATGCTTCAATATATACATATTCCCGTTTTTCGTTTGATTTTATACAATGTAATAGGCTCATTTTAAAGATTCTGTTTACACTGGAAGTTAATGCTTCATAAGTAAACATTCTGGTTAGATGAAGCTTATATAATTCAGTACGATAGATATTTTATGCAACCAGACTGGCAGTGTAATAAAGTTTATCTCTGAAACGTGCAACAATAAGTATAACTTATTGTGACACAGACGTTGAATCCTCTGAGCTGAATGGTTTATTTGTGAGGGAATTATTATTACTAATATGTATTCAGCACAGATATAAATTAAGAGTTATCCATTAGAATTTTCCCATAAGCAAGTTTGAGAATAACCAATAAACTTGGATATTAACAGAACCGTCTGTTAATTACATGTAAGAAAATTCTATTAGCTATAGTACTCTTCAGGTTTATACTTGCAATTTAATCTATAAGACAAACGTACGTTTTTGGATGGAACTTTTATTTAGAAAGAAACAAGGCTATGAAAATCGTACTTGGAACTCATATTCTTCCCGAATGTCTCAACTATGATTAATTCATCAGCTGATCAGATAATATAAAACCAATTGATAAACTCTAATTTCTCAATTCTTACATTGTACTTCTTGAATAATTAGAAATCATTGTATTTACTGTTTACTTCAAATGAACTACTTGTGCTTGATTGGAATCAACTGATAGAACATCCGTCAGGAACTTAAGTCTAAGGCTTGCTGTTTTACATTCCATTTTTGAGAATGTGTTACTTTTTAAAGTGTTCGAACCTGCGACATTCAGTGTTATTATCAGAAAAATTAACACCAAGTTATTGAAACTGCCATCATATTTCTTAATTCTGTACTTATTATTTTATTTATTAATTTCTTAAACTTTCGATCTATAGGAAATCACTGAAAACTACTTTTTGGGAATTTTTACCTGTGAAGCTTTCTTGAAAATTATTGCATTAGGATTTATTCTACACAGTGGATCTTATTTAAGAAATATATGGAATATTTTAGATTTCGTTGTTGTAGTCACTGGGTAAGTATTGAAATATTTGTTGCTTTTTTTCAAGTTTGTTATTTTACATTTGCGGATATGTTTTCTGATTTATTTCTTTAACATGAATTGTTTTTCAATGTTATTCATATACTTTACGAGTTATGTATTCCAAGTATCAAATAAAGACAGTAAGTAATATAGTCCATGGAGTTCAGTAAATATTTAATTCAACATGATTTTGTTGTCAGTTCTAGAATATATGTTTCTGATACTGAATATCTCAGAACAAAATGAGTCGAAATATGAAAGAACTTTTGGACGTATGTAGAAATATTGATTTTTTTAAGAAAACTGTAGAAATTCTCTGGAATAGAGTCTTATTTATCCGGTAATATTACACACTATGTGCAACTGATTCAGGTGTATTCAGATGATGAGTCAGAAACAGGAGGAAACGCTAGTCCTAGATTTCACCGTTAGCCATCATCCATCCCCGCCTATTTACAACTGTATTCTTTATAATTCTGCAGGTAATTTATTCCTCTTAAAGACAGAAACCAATTATATAAGTCTGGGAGATATATTCATTCGCCTTAGGATTATAGATAAATTTTACTTCTAAGTATATGGTAATACCGAATTACCCTTGAGGGGGTATGTCGATTATTCACAACTATCTAACGTCAAAACACTGAATAAATTGTATTTCCAGAAAAGGAGATTTGTGGAGATTGTAGTAATTCAATAGTTGGATGTCGGCTCAGTGGTCTAGAGGTTATGCGTTTGCACGCAAAACCGAAGGTCCTGAATTCGAATCCTGAAAGCGAAATTGTGCGAGACTGGAGTTCTAGTGAGAAGCAGTGACCAGTGCGGTTCAATTCGGTCTGTTTAGAGATATCAACTCACTGAAGACAATGGTGAATGTGTCACTCAGTTTCGGGGATTGGTTGAAGTTAGACATTAACACCGTTGGATGCCAGCTCAATTATATAGAGGTTAAGTGGTCGCGCACGAGACTGATAGGTCCTGGGTTTATGCATGCGCACTGCTGAGTAGTCCCACAATAGGACGAATCGGCCATCCAGTGCTTCCAGGTTTTCCATAGTGGTCTAGCTTCAATTGACTCGTGATTTCAACTATAAAATATAGTATAGCTTCGCTAGTTCTATATCCAAAAAAATTTTTGTTTAAAATAGTGATAAAAATTGTTCAATTTTTGATGTGAAATTTAAAACATAATTTGATTCTGTTACGTAATCAGCATTTGTAATAAATCAACTTCCTGTTAAACAATAATTTCAGATTTTTATTAAATAAATTTTATAATTTTAATATTTACATTTAAAAAATAAAAAAGAGACTCCATGATTAGTGAATAGAAATGAACAGGTTCTGGTAGAGATTAAGTCATGCATGTCTAAGTACATACCTTATAACAAGGTTATGTATAGATAATTGTGAAATTTTAGATTATTCGTTTTTTTGAGTGAATGAAAAAATTTGCTAATCAATAAAGTAAATGTGTCCCTGTGTGTGTGTGTTTTGAAGATCCAATCCACATATCATCTAATATAAGACTATACTTTATACAGTTGCGTTTAATAAAAATTAATATTCAGTTTTCATGTTATAGATTTTTATTAGAATAATAAATCGAACAAGCTCTTATCACTTTGACTGTTATAGTAAGTTTACAAATTAGTTGTTCTTTTAGTTGGATAGTTTAATTGTTAAGTTACTCTTATTGTTCAGGGCTAAATCATCATCAACTAAATTGTTTAAAAGATATAACAATGAAAAAAGAATCTGTTTAATTTTGATAGTTGAGATCATGAATCGATTAAAGCTAGACTACCATGGAAAACCTGGAAGCATTGGAAGGCCGTTTCATCCTATTATGGGACTCCTCAGAAATACACACCCACGATTCCGCTCTCAGGATTCGAACTGAGGACCTTCGGTTTCGTGTGCAAACGCTTAACCACTAGACCACTGAGACGTCATCCAACGGTGTTAATGTCTAACTTCAACCGATACACGAAATTGAGCGACACATTCACCATCTATTTAAGTGGAAAAAGTTTTTATTTCAAATAAGTAATCGATTATCCGTTTTATAAGTTTTTCAATCTAAAAATACTTTGATCGTTTTTCATATTAGTTTTATGATTTGTTTTTTTAATACTCAATGGAAATGACTGATGATGTATAATTTGAAAAGTGTTTCTGAACTAAGTTTGTACAGTGTTATTAGGTATGTATGAATAAGTTTACATTGATAAAGTCAATTACATTAATAGTAAAGTGTATTGTGTAACAATCATAAGAAATTTAGAAATCATTATTGTTTATATTAAGTATAATATATATTAGTAATCGTAGTCCTGGGATGCAAGTTTAGATATATCTCACTCTAAAATTGATCTGTGTATTGTGCGTAGGTACTGTAGTTCAATTAGTAGAGCTGTCTTTGTATGTTTTTAAGGCATTTAGAAACGGAGAATGATTCATGTGTTACATTACAGCTGATACATGACGATTTATATTTATGTGCCCAGACGTTCAATTCTCTTACCGAAAGATAGAAACAAAAATGCTTCATGAAATAATACTAGTTTTCACTGGTAAGTGTACTCACATAACCCTATGTTATGCTCATCCTTTTTCAGATTAAATTTCTAAGTCACATTTATGATAGTGAAGCAACAGTAAACTGTTTTAAATAATATTATTTCGTTTTGGACTATTTTCTTATTGTTTTACTAAATTTGGTAAAAAAAAGCACATTAAAAAATTCATATCAAATTGGATCAAAAATGATAAGAGAAGTAATTTACTAAAGAATATGTTATCATTTATAATAAAGTTCACTTCCTGTGGAACTGAGATATTAACGTTGGTCGATCACTGAGTTATGATCAACTTTATTATTATTTATTCCTGGGACTAATCAAATTCTATCAATTAAGCTACAGAACCTAGTTCTAGAATTCTCTGGTTCATAGTTTGTACATTAACAATATCAAAAAACAAAATGTTTATTCACAGAGAATGATCATTAGCAAAACGCCCAACAATCATTGTGTTCAATAGCTCTAGTACAAAGTTGTGGTTGACGAAGTGAAACTATGTTGGGAACGAAACATTAGTTTACCGATGCCGTAGGACAAAAATTACTACATATAATGTAACGAATAAACATTCAAAAATGTAAAGTATTGAACTCCGAATAAATGATATATATATATATATATATATATATATTTCTAGTGAGACCTGTAAATCAAGATTTCAAATATTTATCTGGTCATGTCTTTTTACTATCAGAAAATTGTACCCTATTTCGAAATTACTTCAACCTAAACTAAAACATTGTAATCAAAGATGGATAGTGGCTAGCAGTGAAATCCAGGACGCGCGCTTCGTCCTATTTTGGGACTCGTCAGCTTCATATACCTGCATCTCAGAGTTAATGTTCACTCTGAGACTCGAACCCAGTACCTTTCGCTTCAAACGCCACCGCGTTATCCGCTTAGCTACTGAGTCCATCTTGTGCTTGTGAAATAATGCTATATCGAGGCCATACGCACAGTATCGACCTATGCCAATAAGAGACAGACCAGTTGCAGTCCTATACATCAATGGGAAGATTCAAACAAACAATACTTATTGAATCTAAACGAAAACAGTTTTATAATTATATATTAGTATATGATATAAACTTCATTCAAAAAATCATCTAATCTTAAATATGACTAAAAGTTTATTCTTTACTATTATCATAAAGGGATTGTTTCTTTTAACTTTGTTGTCAATACAAAGCCAACCAAAGGCTGGAAAAAAATGGCATTTTCTTGTAAACAAAAACAAAGAATCAAATCTACATATAAATCTAAAATCTAAAATTATTGTATAAAATAGTATGAGAAATGTTAAGCAATAATTTCGGGATTCACGTCAACATCCTTACTTGCATTCACGCAATATCACATAAAAATATTATGTATACACAATTTAAAACTCAATAAACGAACAAAATTTTTTTGGGTCTATATCTTTTTCTCTTAAAATTAGAAGTACTTTTAACAAACTCATTTGCATGGAATAAGCCCGAAAAAAAATTCAGTCTTTTATCGTTTATTACAGGAAATATTGATATAGTGATCGTTGCTAAGTAACACATTGAGACAATCTTATTTGATAGCAATTAAAATATGTTATGTTTGGGTGGAATGAGACTGAATATTTTTTGGCTTGCTTATTTTTAATGGCGCAATCGATTCTTAAAACAAACATAGAAAATAAAATTAATTAACCTGGATAGATACTCAGTTGATATATCACCCTTGTAAATTGTTCTGGGAAACACTAAATCATAAGAATGTCTCAAACTGAAAAATATAAACTAAAATTTTTATCCGATAGTGTGAAACCTACATCTTTACCGTGACCATGACTTTAAACTATTATTATTATTATCAGAAGGGGTTTTGTGGAGATTTTAGTATTTTATAGAGTTGAGATCATGAGTCAATTGAAGCTAGACTACCATGGAAAACCTGGAAGCACTGGACGGCCGTTTCGTCCTATTATGGGACTCCTCAGCAGTGCGCGTCCACGAACCCACTCTCGCGGGATTCGAACCCAGGACCTACCAGTTTCGAGCCGAAGCCCTTAACCGATAGACCACTGAGCTGGCATCCAACGGTGTTAATTTCTAACTTCAACTGATTCACGAAATTGAGCAACCATTCACCAATGTCATCAGTGAGTTCCTATCTCACAACAGACCTGGTTGAACTCCACCGGTTACTGCTTCTCACTAGAACTCCAGGAAATACCTCAAGGAGTCAGTCACTAGTGAGCACCTGATTATTATCAGAAGGGGTTTTGTGGAGATTTTAGTATTTTATAGAGTTGAGATCATGAGTCAATTGAAGCTAGACTACCATGGAAAACCTGGAAGCACGATAATTAAAAGTAACAGAGGGAAGAAATGAAATCAGAATCAATTACGAATAAAATCATGGGATGTGAGC